AAAAAAAAAAAAAAAAAAAAAAAAAAAAAAAAAAAAAAAAGGATTGGGGAGGAGATATTTCCACGTGGCCGCCAAATGGACTGGATGCCAGGCTGGCTGATAACACTACAAAATTCAAATAAATACTCTTGCCCCACCTTTTTTCAGAAATAATTAAATAACAAGCTCAACATTTATTTATTATTTATTATTATTAATTCAGACCATGTGACTATGTGTAGTTGGTAGTGTTGCCAATGTGGAAATATTCACAATTTTTAACTAATTTTAATTTTAAAAAATATAAGAAGTTAACATTTAAGAAATTTGAGTTATTTGAATTATTTATTTAAAAATAATAATAAAAACAAAAATGTTAGTTTTTAAAAATATTTATTTATTTATTTTTAAATACATTATTAAAATTTTAAACTTAATTTCTATATATGTTTTGAAAATTTATTTTTAAGAGTTATATGATAGAATAAATAATCAAAAGTAATTATAAATATACATATAGTTTGAAGGGACATGGAATATACATTTTAAGAGTTGTTAAATAACTAAAAAAAAATTTAAAAACAAAATTATAACTTTTAAATAATTACTAAATTGCGTTGGCGAATGAAGTACACTAGCTTGATAGCGCTCAGACAAAACAGATTGAAAAAGTATCTCGTGCTCATGATATACAACATGCACATCATATTTTTTCTATGAGACATGCATTACGTATACATGACATTTCTTTCACTATTATCAGACTTGGGTCAATGATATCTCATAGACATAACATGAATATAGTATGATAACATAATATATTATCCATTGTTAGATAAACAGACTCTCTTCAATGGTATGATATTGTCCACTTTTGAGTGTATCTCTCGTGACTTTGCTTTGGGTTTTTCCAAAAGACCTCATACCAATGGAGATAGTATTCCTCACTTATAAATCCATGATCTTCCACTAAATTAAACAACGTGAGACTCACTCCCAATAATCCACAACAATTGACTCCATATTTTAAATGGACGAAAAAGTGCCTTACTCACCTATCCTCTCCGATTTGAGAACTATTGATCTAAATAATTGTGTGGGCAGGTTGAAAATTAGAGGCTATGAAGAAGCTTCTCCATTACCATTTTTGGAGGGACATGAACATTATTGCAAAGCTATTACCCAAACATATCCACTTTGGTCATTGTCCCTCTTTATTTCATGTCATTATCATGTCAACTACCAACCACAACACTCACAATTTCTTTAGACCCTTTAGATGTACCCTTTAGACCTATCCTTCAACTAGTGCACACTCACACTATTGGAGCCTCGGAGGGAAAGAAGCCCGCATAGTATTGTAATGTACACAATACATCATGGCGAAAATAAATATTGTAAGATACGCATCGATATTAATCATAATGAAAAAAGATCCTGATGCATATGATAAACAAAGATGTATAAGGTCTTGAACTACGCTTTTTAATCCGGGCTAAGGATGTGTAGTACTTCTCTACACACAACCCACATATGTGCACATGGACCCACCAAGCTGGCGTATACATACCCTTCGGGTTGCCCTTCAGCTAGCGCACACTCACACTGCTCGAGCCACAGAGGAAAAGGAGTCCGCATAGTATTGTGGTGTACACAAATCGTATTATAACATCATGACAAATATAAATATCGTAAAATACACATTTGTATTAGTCAAAACGAAAAAATATTTCGATGCATATAACACACAAAAAATGCATGAGGTACCCGTAGCTTCAAATTATTTAACATGCAGATTGTAACTTCGTTCTTTCATAAAATTTTTGCTGAATACATTCTTGGTATATCAACATGTCACATTCTCGAAAACAATCAAGCTAGTATGGTATGCATGACATATCATAGCATAACATAAGTCATAATAAACGATCACATGTAGTCATGATAACATAACATAAGTCATAACATTACATAATACAATTCACGTCATAACCATCTTAAAATATGGCATATGGGAAATTATGTTATAACGTGCTTTGTGGCTCCTCCATGTGTAGTAACTTGCAAACGGGACTGGACTAACATCAAAAATAAAAACAAATCGAAATCTAATTATAAGATCGTGTTGTTCAAGTTTATTACAAACGAACAATGAGTTTGGATACAATTTAAAAAAAAAAAAATACAAAAGACCCAAAATAAACAAACTTAAATGACACCCTGGTACGACCCCCTCTTTGACCACGTAGTTTCTGAATACTCTCCCACCTGACCAGTGGTTAGTGAACACTTGAAAAAAAGTGAGGAAAGGGATGAGGATGAGGATAAAAATATTAAGTAATCAACTTAGTTGTAGGCTGTTATTGTATCCTGTTGCTAGCTAGTAAGTTATCACAGACTTTTCTTTGGGCTTCAAGGATTTCACACCTATTCTACATCTACTTGAACTTTTGGGATGGCCTTCAAGTTTTGAACATATTTCATGTCCATCACAAACCTACACTAGGTTTGAAGGTTGTTCATCCATTTCTGGCCGTGTAGATATACTATATACTAGGCTATAAATCACATTCATCAGGTGAACTATTTTACCATTCTTAGACTTAGTCAGCTTGCATAGCCACAATAGTGAATGACCAAAATTTTGGGTTGATGTGCTACCTCATCAAATCTGTAAAGGCAGTATGACATCTAGTTGGTCTAAATGTCATCCATGGAAGGTTAATCGATAGACCCTTCTATAAAGCCACAAACTCACTGATAAGATAAGAAACCACTACAAGGGGAGTAAGATTCAGATTACCTTGTTGATCGAATATCTCAAGGCAAGAACATTGTTTGAGATTCAAATCACTCCACAAGCAAGATCGATCATGTTTAGCTTGAATGATTCTTGTTGATCAAATATCTCAAACACTTGTTTGAGATTCGAATCACTCCACAAGTAAGATTGATCATGTCGAGCTTGAATGATTCTACATGCAACCTAAACTACATAGAATTGCAAATAAACTTAGTCGTTGGCTAAACAAAGTACAAATGCTTTTTTTACTATCTCTTTTCCAAGTTTACTTACAAATACAACATACATGGCTTTATATAGCCTCAAAATAAAACTAAAGGCATTTCAAAAGTGGTAACATTCATCCTTAATTACAATAATTAACTATTATGTAATTGTAACCTAAAGTAAATAAAAAGTCTTAAAAAACAATAACTCTAAATTACTCTAAATTGTAACCCACCCAAAATTTATAACAATCAAACTTCATTCTTCTTCAACGTAGCATGAATTGAAACATCTTTTTGTTAATTTTGACAACTTTTTCTTCACATCTTCATTGAAGTATATTGTATGATTGATGTCTTTTGGTTCATATCACTCACTCTAGGTGTGAGGGTGCAACCTTGTGTGCTTGCCAACTACTAGGTTATCTACGTGGTCCCACACTTCCTCTAATGACGGGTTTATAGCATGGAGGTTTAGTTACAACACTTAATCACCTAAGGTGCTATGCTAGGTTGTTTTAAAAGATATATGTGATCAAGTATGTGTGTTTGCCTTTACTATTGACTATTGTAGTGAGGTATTTTTAAAAAAAATTTATAAGTAGTAATAAAACATTTTTGGAGATTTTTTTATCTAAAAATTCCAAATTTCAAACAAAATTATAATTTTATTATAAAACTCTTCTCCTCTCTCAACCGCATGGTCCCACGTTCAATATACAAAGTAGCACCACATAAACCAAGTTTCTGGCTTTGCAGCTGAGGCACCCAGTCGTTCTGAACCAGAGGAGTGTCATCACAGATATCCGACCTCGACCATCTTCTCTGCGTTCAACCTGTTCAAATCATCGCCTAAATTTTTGTTTCAACTTCCGTACGTTCATTTCATCGCTATAATCTGAAGTTTTAAACAATGAACTCAGTTTATTTGTTTTTGTTTTTGTATTTGTGTGCGTGTGTTTGTTTTTCCGTTTGATTTCGTTTTCTGAGTTGTTTCTTTCGGTTTTTGAATTTGTTTCATCTTACGAACTGCTTTCTGCGATTTCTGTAGGAAATAGTTATTGTTTGTTTTACGCCACTTTTTTTGGTTGTGGTTTTTGTTTTGGAGATGAATGGATTGAGAATCTAACCTGACTTCCTCCGGCCTTGCAGCGACTCTATTCTTGTATCATTTTCCAACTGCTACTCATTGTTGTTGTAATTTGGTAAAATTGACCTCTCATGTCAACAAGAATGGAGGCTACGGTTACGCAGCACTTCCACTTTTCTCCATGGATCCATTCGAGCAGTATTGTTGCAAAGCCCAAGGGTTCGCTACAATTTTCTCGGCGATTCGCGGAGCAGCACATCTTGCGGGTGCCATTTTCATTCAATTTACAATTGTCGAGGCCTTCAGCTCGTCGCAGAACAGTTGCATTGAACATTGCCTGCTCTTACGATAACTCTACAGGTTTTCTGTTTGCAATCTATAGCCGATATATTCAATTTTCTCATCTTAAAGCTAAAGAAACGTCTATGTGTTAATTCGATGGTATTCTATAGAATTCGGTAAAAGCCAATTGTAGCTTAGCTCCTAGAATTTTGATTAGCATTTACTTGGTATATATATATATATATATATATATATATATATATGCGTATGGAATCTGCAAAAACACATGAAGTTCCTCATCTTTACCCGTGATAAAATTAATGTTTCTCCGATTGTTAAAATTTGCACGGTGTACTTGAGAAACTTGGAGCACCTTTGTTAAGTGTGTTATAAAATGACAATTTCATTTCAACTTGATTACGTTTTTCCCATTTTCTCCCATTGTTAAGTATTTTTTACACGATGTTTTAAGCTCTCATTAGAAGGATTAGCCTGTAATTTGTGGCATACATACAGGCATACATATACATGGAAACTTGAATATAGTCGGGGACTACATTTCTAATAAGATTTTCGATTTTGCGTTTTTTCAGCGTTGGAATCTGGAAACCATTTTGCTTCTTTTGATGAATCTTTGGCTATACAGGTATGGGTTTCCTCTTTTTCATTCTTATTTTGCTAGAGGTTTTCGCTGCTTTCTTGCTTTGTGTGATTGAGTCATATTCAAAATTGTAGAGGAAGTGCCGGGAGATTGAGTCATATTTAAATGGGCGCTGTATATATCTTGTTGGTGAGTTTCTTTCTTGGAGCACTTCATTATTTTTGAGCTTATGAAATTAGATGTTCAAAATTGTATCTATGAAGTGCAGGAATGATGGGCTCGGGAAAAACGACTGTGGGGAATGTCCTGTCCAATGCACTTGGTTACTCCTTTGCTGATAGGTTTGTCTTAAAGCTGTTTGTGTAGTTTTTACAAACTTTCTGTCAAAATCTGTTATTCTTATTTGCATCTTGATTTCATAGCAAGCGAAAGATTTACGTTCTTTAAATTTTATAATTAAATTTAACTTCCAAGTTTTATTGACAAGTGCTGAGTAAAATGCAGCTGTAAAATTACAATATCATTGAAGATGCAGCAGATGCTGAAAAATCACTGGACCCTGTTTTTAATTTTACTTCCTCCATTAATGAAAGAAAGAACTGTGGATCTAGGATTTTTATGCTAGCGTTATAATTTCTGGCTTCTGTGATTAATTTTTCTTGTCCATGCGTAACCACATACTATGGCTTTATATTTCCTTACTGATCACTTATGATATTTTATATTGTGGATGCCACAGTGATTCATTGGTTGAAGAAGACGTTGGAATTTCTGTAGCTGAAATTTTCAAGGTCTATGGGGAGGACTTCTTTAGAGAAAAAGAGGTCAGTATAGACGCATAACTGCCAAATCATTTGTTACATTTTGACATAATTTATGTTGTCTGTTAACTATTATGGTCAAAGTTTATGCTGTTTATGCATTATTACCTCTCTCTCTCTCCCAAATGCACCCATCGATTATCTTGTAAAGGTTTTTAGCTTTAGGTTCATATCCAAACATGGATTCTGATCGGGATGCTCTTTCTTTCTTGACTGATGAGGTTATCTCAATTGTTTGTCCCGTGGTACACTTGGATTTGTACTTCAGACTACTTTTGAAGTGTTATGTAGTATCTAGAATTGATGAAAGTGATCTTAATCATTCAAGAATTTCTTTTTAGTTCTTGCTTAAACTAAACCTCATACTAGCCTCGAAGGTCAAAGTAAATATCATGGCCATAATGCTCTATGATAACTATCAATTACTTTGTTTTCTATTCTTTCCTTTTAAAGTTATACCACGAAAAGGTCATTGCCACTTGTCCATTACATTTTGATAAACCCGGAATGTGTAATACTTTGAATTTCTCACCATTGAAACATTGTTGCCACAAGGGATGCTCTATTCTATGCATTTATGAACTCCAAAACAAAATCTTAGCTTATTGACATCACAGTGAATCTAACTTATCTTGATTCTTGCAGACGGAGGCATTGAGGAAGTTATCTTTGATGCATCAGTTTGTTATTTCCACAGGCGGAGGTGTCGTTACAAGAACGATAAACTGGTAAAGAAGACAGACTAGTTAGATACAAGTGGTTACATCTTTTCAGTTGTACTTAAGTTTTCAGTATCATCTGGCCGAACCTTTGTTCTTAAATTTCTAGGAAACATATGAATAAAGGGATCAGTGTCTGGTTGGATGTGCCTTTGGAAGCCTTGGTTAAGAGGATTTCAGCTGTAGGAACCAGTTCTCGCCCCCTTTTGCATCATGATTCAACTGATGCATACTCAAAAGTATGTTTTTCAGTGCTTGTTTCTGTTTTCTCTTGAGAAGAATCTCTTAAAGATTAGTTTTAAAATTCAGTCTCGAATAAATTTGTTTTTTAATTCCTGTCATCTACAGACCGTCATCCGTTTATCTACTCTCCTAGAAGAGAGGGGTGAAGCATATGCCAAAGCTGAAGTGAGAGTTTCCTGCCGAAGTAAGACATCTTTCCTTGATTTTTTTATTCATCATGACCTGTGGAAGTACAGAAAGGAACTTCTAAAATAATGTCTTATTCTTTCTAAGCTTAATGTCAACAGCTCAAAAAATAATCTCTTTAGTTTTTTCTTTCGCACAGAAGAACTGCTGCTTTCATCTAAAAGTTATTTTTTCCAAAAGCCATTTCGAACATAAGCTGAGTGCTTGAGTTGTGCAGAACTTGCAGCGAAACTGGGCACTAAAGAAGTATGTAATGTCACACCTATGGCCATAGCAATCGAGGTCTCTCTCTCTCTCTCAGCATAAATATTATAGTTTATACTGCTATTCAAGCATTTTGACTATGAGTCCTATTTTTATTCCTAACAATTTTTAGCTCGTACACGTTTATACTACTATGTACTCTCAGGTAGTGGAACAAATCAGCATCTTTTTGGAGAGAGAAAATGGTTCTTGTGCATTTTGACAACCACAAAAACAATAGTTATTCAGGTATAATAGAAGCTTTACTACTTTCATGGCTGCAATGAAGTGAAGAAGCTGATATTTTCGTTTCATTTTTTCCTTATAAAAGTTAAGCATTTTTCTTCTGTTTTCAGGTGCAATTACAAATTCGATTTTTCATTATTTATGGAGAATATTCTCTATCAAAGCTTGATTCATCCATCCCAAGTCTTGACCCATATTTCTTAATCTCGCAAAAGGGTTTGATCATTTAGTGTAGTGAATCATAGAAAATGTATCACGTTTCTTAGTTCCATGTTTCTTATAAATGTGGTTATGTCATTCAATTAAGTTTAGATTGTGTTGGATGATGAAAGTCTCACACGGACTAGTTTAGGGAATGATCATGAGTTTATAATTAAAGAATACTTTCTCCATTGTTATAAGGCATTTTGGAGAAGCCCAAAACAAAGCCATGATAGAGAGGTTATGCTCAAAGTGAACAATAATTAAAAGAGGAAGAGAATCCAGCTCATTTCTTTGTCAATTAATTCATATGAATGTCTTACAAAATATGTATCAGAGCCGTTTTACTAAGTAAATGGTGCATCTTGGCTAGCTATTATAAACAATTTAGCTAAATCAATGGAATAGATTAATTTTAAATTTGCTTCTTATTCCTAATGTATTAAAATCTAGAAGAAAGGGTGAAATTTTGTTACAAAAAACTGTCACTACATTATTGTTTTATTAATATATTTGAATCCGTAGATATGCTATGTAACAAGTTTTTTTTTTTTTTTGGAAGAATAATAACAATAACTTTTGTTGATGGTTGAGTTTTGCACGAATTATTATGTTTCATGTATTAATAACATTAGAGTAGCACGTACACTTCTCCATTTATATTATTTATATTAATATGATAAAAATTTAATGATACATCAATCTTTTTTTTTTATTATTAATAAATGTGAGAAACTGAAAATTTTGAGAATTTAAAGAGATTGAGAAGAAAAATTGAAAATTACATAAAATATTAGTGGCCAAAATTTGATTAGGAAAATGCAGTTGGTAAAAACTTGAATTTGAATCCCCTTTAAGAGGAGGCTAGCCATGGCTAGTACTTAAGGCAACTTTTCTATGCTACTCATACACTTTTTGACGATTTTACACTATCATCTATACAAAAGCTCATTGATTGAACAAACTTCAAGTTCAAAATCTCAAACAACCTCCTCGGAGCCTCGAGCTCGAACACACGTGTACCTTCTCTCATGTACAAACCTCCACACTCTCCTCCTCTAAGGCTTTTCTCCTCTGTGCATCAAGTTTTGTTTCATTGCCAATGCTATTGGATATGGCTTTTGGTAGCCAGAAACCGGGCCTCTCGAGGAACGCTGCTCGATCAAGAACCAACGGTTCTCTCAAACTTACTTCTATCCCATTGTCTATCCACAGTGTCAAGGTTGCTTCACCTTTGAGACCCAAAGAAAACCAGCCTAAACCTGCTATTGAAATATCAATGCTATTGACGTCCCAACTGCTGCCAGACACTTTTATCTCTCTCTCCTCCCATTTGCCAATTTCAGAAGCACGGTCTACGCCAATGGGTGGCTGACAGAGAAAAACAAAACGAAAATATTCAAACTGCAATCATCAAATAGACCCGACTTCGTTTTTCTTTGGCTGATATGGCTATGTTTAGGAGTGATTGTGCCAAAACAATACTTCAGCAGATCAGCAGAGCAACAGACGTGGCCAGAGAAATGAAGTGTGAGATCCCACATTGGTTGGGGAGGAGAACGAAACATTCTTTATAAGAGTATGAAAACCTCTCCCTAGCAGACACGTTTTAAAAACCTGGAGGGGAAGCCCAAAAGGGAATGCCCAAAGAAGACAATATCTGCTAATGGTGGACTTCGGCTGTTATAAATGGTATCAGAGTCAGACACCGGGCGATGTGCCAACGAGGAGGCTGAGCTCCAAAGGGGTGAAAATGAAGCGATGTGCCAGCAAGGACGCTGGGCCCTAAAGGGGGTGAGATCCCACATCGATCGGAGAAATGAATGAATGAGTACTAGGTACATGAAGAGAAATGAATTATAGTGAAATAAAGGCAATCAGATTACCTGCAACCTTACACCTGCATGTTTCTTCCATATCTCATCGGCATTTTCAATCTTCCCCAAGTGAAGAGAAACATTTGGTGATGCCCAAACTGTAACATAAATTGTCTGTACTGAAGCTTGGCTGAGGTCAAGTCTTACCAAACCACCAACATGCACGGCCTGTCCTACCTGCACAACATTCTAGCCAATACTCAAGCATCCTCAAATCTAGTGAACAACCACTACCAAGTCATTCTATAATTTGATACTTGTCTACCATTTGCATATAACATTATAGACAACTCAAATGAATAGTTCAAACTAACAAGCCATAAACCTGAAAACATGCTAAATTTACATACAAACTCGGGCCTATCCAACTATTTTGAAGCAGTAACTGAAATAGCTACGGTATAATGGAGAGGAATTTTGAATATCTAACATGCTATCATTTAGAACACAACGTGGACTCAAAATCTCTGTCAAATATGGGTTAATAAGCCATTGTAGAGTCATAAATTTTCACTAGTGAAAGTACTAAATGGATATGGTCATCTAGATGATAGAATAAATCCATGTTTTCATTTAGAAGAGGTATATACTTGCCTTTACTCGATAAGTCCTCGGTTGGAGCTCCTTTCGGATTTCGACCATCTTTTGTTCTTCCCTATCCAATCTCATGGACGCTAGATAAGGATGTAGAAGACCAGGAGTGTCAAACAACTTGGCCTTGGCTGACAAAATCCCCGCAATTCTCAAAATCCCGAGGGTCGTCCCCGGAATTGGAGCTTCTGTAAGCTTTGTCACTTTAGCCCCTTCTTTCTTTGCAAATGTGTTAATGAGGGTAGACTTCCCTGCATTCTGAGCACCAATAACCCACACATTACCTCGTGGACCAGCCAATTCTTTGATGAAGGACAATAGATTTCTCACACCAACATCTTTACGAGCACTAACCAAATAGACTCCAGCCAATTTAGGAGCCCCTGCAGCCTTAGCACGGTGCCTAACCCATCTATCAAGCCTTGTGGGTGAAATCTGTGAGGGGAGGAGGTCAACCTTTGTAGCCACAAGAACAAGCTTTGGAAGCTTTTTACTAATCTTTGGGTTGTTCTTATTCCCTTCCAGAGCCTTAAACAACGATTTTGCTGCCCTCTTTGGGAAAGAACCATCGAAATCAACACAATCAACAACCATAACAACAACATTATTCAAATTTGATGTGGATTTCATCAAACGATTGGCTATCAATCTATCAAAATCAAAATCAGGTATCAAATTCTCAGCAGCTTGGTTCTTTACCTGCCCATAATTTCTCAATGAATGGCACCTTGCACAAACTGTTACCTCTTCTCTCTCTTTCTCAGCCTCTCTAGCTCTCTTCTTCTTTTCTGACTTAGATATCCTCTTCTTCTCGGCTCGCTTCACCGTTTCCTCTGTAATGTTTCCATATCCCACATCAGCAGGCGCAAAACCATCCAAATCCAAATCACTTTCTTCTTCCTCCATGATTTTAGCCTCCCATTCATCTGAATCCCAATCAAATCCATCAACAATTTCTTCTCCATCACTGTCTTCTCCTTCAAACATGGCATCATCCTCATCCTCATCCCCATCCTCATCCTCTATAATTCCGTAGAAATCATCTTCTATTGGTTCTGTGACTGAAACCTTCCTTTTCTGATAATATCCAGGAACGTTTGGATCCTCATCTTGCATAAAAACTCCACAACCAGGACATATGTCTCCCATTTTCTCATCCTCATCTCGTCCCTCACTCAGAAGTGGATTTTTCGTTCTTCCTTTACCCTGAATCTTAGTACTGGTTGTATGAACACTTAATTGAGATTTCACGGCTAACCTAAATACTGGAATTTGATTTTCGTGAGCAATTCCTTCTCTAATGAAGCCTATGAAAACAGGTTTTTCGTTAACTCAATGAACCAAAATGCAAGGGAAAATGAGGGGAAGGGTGAATTTACCTGGAAATAAACGAGGACGTGTTCGTACTCTGAATCCAGTACAGATACTATTGTGGGCGAGATTCAGAGTGAGCGCCGTTGCAGATAGCGAAATCGCCATTTCTTCAAGTCGCAATTGATATACACAATTGGTAGTGTTATGTGAAGTATTTTAGGGAAGAACAATGTTGGGCACATACAAACAGTTTCATACCTAAAGATAAGAACATACGCGAAGTTCCATCGCTGCAAATCTTATGCAGCAGAAGGAAGGTAAATGAAGGAGAATTAATTTTGAGTTGAAGGACCTAAAATATTGAATATTTAAGCAAAAACAGATGAAGGGGCGAAGCAAGAAATTAGCCAAAACTTGTTAATTCTTATCTCATCCTCTATTTCTAATCTCATTTTTTAAAAAACCTAAAACAAATTAATAGAGGTGTTCCCAAGAAAAAAAAAATAATGATACTAATACTTCGAAGAATATGATAAAACACCCGTACATGTTCGGGTAAGGAAATAGAGAGTTTTCTAGCTTCGTTGCTGTTCTTCAATGGAAATTTCCTTCCCTTTAGCTCTCACGTCCACCACCTCTTTACCCAAATCAATCCTTCTTCGACTTCTTTTTCTTTTGTTGTACAGTTGCTAGATGAGGGTTTTCTTCTTCTTATTTGATTTCATAGTGGTTCACTGCAGCAACTGCTGTCTAATCTGAAAATCAGCTTTCTAAAGTGTGGCTTCGGTCATTTTTTAGTATCATTTTGTTTTTATAATGTTTGTTTCTTTTCATTTAGGGCTGAGAAATGATAAAATTTTACATTTAAGATGTTTCTAATTGGGTTGTGAATGATCCACGTGAACTGCTGATGTGGATTAAAATTTGATTTCCGAATTGCTTCACCATCAGGGTTAGTAATTTGTTCCAGATTTGCCAATAGTGTTGTTTCTCCCTTTGCTACAGCATCATGGTTCAACATAAATGTTCTTGAATTTTACCCAATAACTCAATTAAATGTAAAATTAAGCTCTATTTATACAAATTGATTTCTTTTTTATATTAAACCACAATTGACTATTTCATGTATACTAATTAAAAAAGGGAGCAATTAATGAGCAAATGGTGAGTATGGGTGCAAAATTAACTACAAAAGACTTGATATAACTCTACTTTTGGAGAGTTATTAGCGTTGCCGGAGAACTCTCTAGCGCTTCTCCAAGGCGTTGCTTGAGAACTCCCTAGGGCATTGCTCAAGACCGACCATAGTCATTGAAGTATGAAGTTTTGTGGGACTAGCAGGATATTACAAAAGGTTCATATAGAATTTTTTCAAGATCTCTGCGCAACACTTACACAGTTAACCAAGAAGGGCAAGACCTTCAAATGGACACCAACATGTGAATAGAGTTTCCAGGAGCTTAAGGAAAGGTAGGTGACAACAACAGTCCTCACTGGGTCAGACAACCTCATAGTATACAATGACGCCTAAGGTAAAGGTCTAGGGTGCATGTAGAAGCGTAAGATGCCACATTAAAGACATACGAACGAAATTAGCAGCAGTAGTGTTTGCATTAAAGACGTTACCACATTATCTATATGGAGCGAAAGTGAAAATATACACTGATCATAAGAGTCTCAAGTATCTGTTTAGGGAGAAGGAACTTAATATGAGACAAGAAAAATGGTTAGAATTGGTAAAGGATTACAATGTTGAGATTCTATACCATCCAAATAAAGCTAACGTTGTAGCTGATGCATTGATCAGGGGTTGGAATTGGTAAAGGATTACGATGTTGAGATTCTATACTTCTGCAATGATCACCAAGCAAGAGAAAGTTACAATATGAGATGAAGAGGGTTGAAATCGAGGTTGTAGTCAGAGGTGGTATCGCTCTAGTAGCACAGATGACTGTGCAACCCACCTTACGAGAACGAATCATTGACGTCCAAAAAAATGACGAGCACCTCAGCAAAGTGTAAAATTAGACAGAAACAGAGAGACCAGCGAGTTTTCAATCTTCTCAAGCGGGTTTTCAATCTTCTCCGACAAGGGCTTACTGTGGCAAAAGCGCATGTGTGTAACTTAAGACGAGAAAATTCTAAAAGAGATTATGATTGAAACTCATGATACATCTTATATGTTCCTCCTTGGGAGTACGAAGATGTACCATCCTGAAAGGATGTTATTGATGGCTAGGGATGAAGAAGGATATAGTAGATTTCATAAGTCAATGCTTGACTTGCCAACATGTGAAGGCCCAACAAAAGGGAAGCAGTATGTATAGATTTTATCTCGAGTTTGCCAAAGACCAAGTAGAGTTTTAACGTAATCTAGGTGGTTGTAGACAGGCTAACCAAGACAACTCACTTCATTCCAAGCAAGACCACATATTGAGTGGATTGATGAGTTCAGTTATATGTCAGAGAAGTAGATTTCCCACATGGAGTGCAAGTTTCTATTGTGCTAGATCGGGACACCATGTTCACCACACAATTTTGGAAGAGTCTTCAGAAGGCATTGAGAACGCTTGGTTTAGCACAACATTTCACCCTTAGAGGGATGGATAGATTGGAAGACTAAATCAGATATGGGAGGAAATGTTGCGAGCATGTGTCATGGATTTCTCTTGATGTTGGGACGAACAACTACATTTGATGGAATTTGCCTGCAATAACAGTTATCAAGTGACAATTCAAATGGCCCCATTCGAGGCACTGTATGAGTGTAGGTGTCGGACACCAGTATTTTGGGAAGAGGTAGGCATGCAACAATTGTTGGGACCAGAGTTGGTTCAGGTCACCAATGTAGCGGTACAAAATATTAAGCAGAGGATACTTATTGCACAGAGTCGACAGAAGAGCTATGCAGATTCACGTATAGAAGACCTCGAGTTTGAAGTGGGTGATCATGTTTACCTAAAAGTAGAACCCATGAGAGGGTATTGAAGTTTGGGAAGGAGGGCAAGTTGAACCCAAGATTTATAGGCCCTTTTGCATTTCCACCGAACTTCATTGTCGTGCACGATGTGTTTTGGGTATCCATGCTACGAAAGTACACGCCAGCCCTACCCATGTGATTGGACATGAAAATCTTCCCCTTCGAAAATATCCGACTTACTAGGAGATACTTGTCAGAATTTTTGCTCGTGACCTTAGGAGATTGTGCAGCAAGGTGATTCCCTTGGTAAAAGTCTTGTAGGGCGACCATCATAATAATGAAGCAACCGGGATGAGAAGAAGACGTGAGGATTGCCTATCCCGACCTCTTCCAAGAGATGCCTACTTTCAAGGACGAAAAGTTTCTAAGGAGGGGGAGAGTTTGTAACACTTTAAAAAAAAAAATCGATCAAAGTCAACCGAGGGGAAAAAAAATGAGGAAAACAGATGGAAAAATAGAGTTTCATAGGTAAGAGAAATAGAAACAAACCATAAATATTGATACTTAAAAGAGAAAGAGCTAAAAAAATACTCTAACCAACCTAAAAGAAACGTCTTTATTTAAACGTGACTAGACAATTTCAAACATTGGGACTAGACGCCTTAAATGAATAAAAGAGAAAGACACGCCATCATAAGAATCTCAATAAGAAGCCAACATTGAACCATACTCAAAGAGTTGTTTGAAGTTGTAAGGATTAACAATTTGAGCATCTCCGCTCCATATAAGTTCTGCGAGCTGCTTGAACAGTTTTTCAGTAGGATGAAAGGAATCAAAGAATACATAGTCTTCTAGATTGTCACACTCCGTAAATGGTAAACCTTCCACGTTTCTTCCACAATTATAAATCCCTCTGAACGCCCCGCTCCCACAACATGCTGTCTCCGTTACCTTGAAACCTTCATCCAATTTGTATCTATTTAGTGTCTAAATTTCAAAAAAACGTCTAATAGATAAGCAAAAATTAGTTACCGTATTTAATAGGATTTATAATTCTTTGAAGAAGTAGAGTGTGGGTATCTGCAAAAGCGTATTTGAATCCTTTGAGTTGGATGCCAAGTTTCTGTAAGGCATCGGGAAGAAGCTGGTTGTGTAGCCTTGTTATTGAAGAAGCCTCTTCGAAAAATTGGACACTCCTTTTTATTCTTGAACTTGGCATATGACCTAATGGAGGCACGGTCATAAACCCAAATTTCCTTCCTCCGTACTTGTATACTTCCTATTTAAAATCAGTTGATGTATCATTAAATCACTGCATATCAAGACATATCAAGACATATCAAGACACGCAAGCTTACCTTGAGCGCTATCGTTATATTTCCTACCACCATATTCACGAACCGTTCTTGAGCGCTTGAGGTGTTAAATATGTCGTAACTTATGTCGAAAGGATTTAGGTAATCATTTCCTCCAAAATTGAAGAGAAAAACCGAGTTTGAGATGAGGGTTTGAGCTGAGGCATTCCCCAGCTTCTTTCTTAGTGATTTCATCACCTTTTTGAAAAACTTCATCTGAGTTTGAAGTCCTATGGCCTGAAAAAACCATTGATTCAATAGTAAGAAATATTCAACTCCATTCAAAACGAAATCAATCACAAGTTTGATGAAGTTATTCAAACCGATCCCTTGTGACTCTCAGCTAAAGCACCACTTCCACTCGATGCAAAATTCACACCGTTGTCATAGAAATCATTGTGAGGATCTAAATATGGCGGAATCAAAGGCAAGCCTGCATACTCGGCTACAAAAAAAAAAAAAAAAAAAAAAAAAAAAAAAAAAAAAAAAAAAAAAAA